TTTTATACTCTATCTGATTTTGTTGTTTATTAGAGCATCTCCAACCGAGATCCTTATTTTAAGGGTGTCAAATCCCTAAAATGAGGGTTTAAGGGTGCATTGCTCCAATGGTTAAACCTCAAATCTATTTTAAAGCAAGTTTATATTTTACATTATGGTCCTTAATTTTCATAATAATTAACTATAATGATAAAAATTTAATAAATAAATATAAAAATACATTTCTTATGTATTTACCAGATTATTAGTATTGTAGTATGGTTTATTTTGTGTGTTTTGATGTATTTTATTAAGTTTACTTATAAAAATGTCATGTAATATATCTTTTATATTGGTAATTTTAATATAAAATTTCAAGTATTTATTTGATTTTTATTAATGATATTTAAATTTATAAAAATACATTTGATATTTAGAAGATATCTAATTGTATGGACTAAAATAAAAAGAAAAACAAAAAGTAGATTTATGATAAGATATATAATTGTAAGGACTATAAAATAAAATAAACAGTATTTTAAGGGTCTGAATAGTGGATCCTCAAATTTGAGGTTTCACTATTCAAAACCTCAAAATTTGAAGGTTTAAGGATTATGCCGGAGCACCAAAAACCTCAAATTTGAGGGTTTAAAGGCTGGGTTGGAAATACTCTTAGCGTTTCATTTAGAGTTTCATCCCTCCCTCCACTTGTCTCCTTTGGTTGGGGGCTTTATCTTGTGACAAATTTTAAGACTTTTTGGATTTATCTTATATCAATGAAATCCATATATATATGATGAAAAATTATGAATTTAAGTAAATAATTGTAAATTCATTTTGTATCACTACAACATTTACAAAAAGAAGTAATTACAATAGTTCTCTCCTCTCTATTACTACGAATTATCATTGTATATGTATCTTTATATTTATGGGAGGATTGCTATAGGGACCCTAAAAAAGCTGGTAATTAGGAAAACAAGCTTACAATCTCGAAATTAATAGAACAATTTTGCTTTTTGAAAAACCCCGATTTTACCCTTCGGACGCTTTGATGACAAAAACGCATTTACGAAAATGCCATTATTATTTAATTTCCACGTCAGTAGTCAAAATAACACGCTAAGAAATAAGTCTATCATCGTTAATAGTTGAGATATTTTTGTTGATAGACTTAAACGTGTGTAGGTAGATATATTATCCGTTGATAGATTTGTGTAAATGTTGATAGATTTGTAAAAAGTTGGTAGACTTTTTGTTGGTAGACTTATTATTAATGTTAAGGTAGATTTGATTTTGCTAGTAGATATATTATTTTAATGATAGATTTGTTGTTCCATAAGGTAGATTTATTTCGATTTGGTAGATATAATGACGGAAAGTTGACTTCGGTTGACGAAATTAATAGACTTATTTACCTTTTGAAGTAGATTTGTTTTATAAAAAATAGACTTATTTACGAAAAATATAAATCGACTACTAGAGATTTTGATTCATAATGATAGATTTAATTGTGTATTGGGTAGACTTAAAAACGCGTGGTAGATTTGTTCTGTCTAAGTAGATTTGTTTTCTGAGTGGTAGACTTTAATTTACATTTTCTTACATGAGTTATGTTTTCTGAGTGATAGATATATTACACAATGTAATAGAGATATTTGGTAGTGGTAGATTTATTTGACATTTTATGGTAATGTAGTAGATTTATTGTTCATCTTGGCGCATCGATGTTGATAGAGTTCTGTAAAAATTGGTAGACTTTTTAAGAATTGGTAGACTTATAAAAATTAATAGAGTTATTGTCCTGCACTTGAAGGTAGACTTATTGATACGAAATTACTTTTTTGTCCAGCAGTTATTACCGAATTTTCTACATCTAACCACCGCATTAACTACATCTAGGGTAGCCGCCCTTAAGTGTTTGTCGATGATTTCCCCTATATCAGATGTTCTCTTGATGTTGTATCTCTTTCTCCTCATGGTGGTTATAAGATTCAATTTAGTTATATGATTTTGAAGAGATCCAGTCCCAAGCTACCCAAAGATTCACCACCGATTTTTGTTGCAAATTCTCGATAATTTGCCGTGTTTTTGCTTCACTTTGAAAACAAGACGATCAAGACGAGGTTAATGACAAAGCGGCGAGTAATGAACTGAATGGGAAAATATCTTCAGCTAGTGAGGATTTGTGTTGTTATGTAATAGACTTGTGTTGTTTTGTAATAGATTTGTGTTGTTTTGAAGTAGACTTATGTTATATTTATACTCTACCATAGTCTACCACTTACTGCCAGAAATCTACCATTCAGTTGTCAACAAATCTTACAATAAAACAACTCTACCATTCCATTGTTAAATAAATCTATCACCGATTTAAACCTGCTTCAACAATTGCAGGAATGGTTCGTCCATGCGACCAATCTACCAAAATAAATAGCGAATAACCACCAACAACACTACAACAAGAAAATGGTCCTCTCAAGGTACAATCCTTAATCTATGAGCTGAAGGGTTTGCCTAAACCATTCTTCTGGTAACTCGTCCTTAGTCTCTGCCGCATATTTCATCCATATCGTAGCAACTGTGTCATCATTAATGCCATCCATGGGAGATCCGAGAGCCAAACATTCAATAAACTTCAAAGTATACACCCCACAATCGCCAATTTGATTGTTTTGATGATATCCTTCATGACGTAGGTGTGAAAGGGGTCTGGCGTCTCATGGTGCTCAACAAACCAGGACTGTATTATCACAATAAAATGACAATGAATTCAAGTACAAAGGTAAGTCTACCATACATGTCTACTTAGTCTACCATATGTGTCTAACAAGTCTACCTAAGAACAAGTCTGCCTAACAATTACACAACAAGTCTACCTAACATCAACACAACAAGTCTACCTAATACCAACACAACAAGTCTACCTAATTCCAACACAACAAGTCTACCTAGATTGGATCACTGAGACCCGTTATATCGACAAAGTCGTACAAACTGAACCTGAGTGGTCTACCACCGATTAAAGACCAAATCTCATTACGCGTACAAGCAGAATTCAAGAGTCAGTAAGATACTAAACCATATTAATACCTAAACCATAATTTAAACAATTCTACTGCATACTTAAATAAACAACTCTACCATTTTACCTAAATACAAAAGTCTACCATATATATATATATATATATATATATAAACAAGTCTACCAGTAAGAACTCTTCGACGCACGTTGGTTCTGAAATCCATCGACGAAAAGAACTGCTTGCTGCAACACAAACAAATTTAGGGTACACAACTTCTATTTACTCTTCTCTGGTGGTTGTTGTCGCCGACAGAACCCAGAACGGTGAAGAAACGCGATTTTAAAAACCAAACAAATTAAAGCTTTGCAAATTTCTGGAAAACGAACTGAAGATTCAAATGATGCTCAGCGGAGACGCAGAACACACCGATAGGAAGGACGGAAGAAGCACAGAAGAACCAGACCGCCGGAAAAGATGTAGAAGCTTCGGTCTTCGATCGCCGTCGCCATCGTCTTCTAGGGTTTTCGTCCCATCTATTCTATTAAAACAGAAGCACATTTAGTGCTTGCATCCAAACTCTCCCAAAGTTTTTTTATAATAATTTAATTTATTTTTATATTTAATTTCCGAAAATTAGTTATTAATTTAGATATTTTTAGATTTCCTAAAATCTTGGTCATCTTTAATTTAAATTTCAAATTATTAGAAATTTAATTAAATTTAGTTACAAAAATTTGCATTCAATTTAATTTAAATTCAAAAAATTCAAAAAAATTATAATTAAATTTTATTACGAAAATTTAGATAATAATTTTAATACTTTATAATTTCTTAAATACAGGAAAGATTTAATAAAAAATTTTAAATTTAAATAATATTTTTATAAAAATGCATAGTAAATAAATATTTTATCGTATTTTATCATAAACAATCAGTCTAAAATATCAAATATTTGAGATTAATAAATATTTATATTATACAATAATATGATCGAGCTGATTAGTGTTATATATATATATATATATATATAGTCCATGAGTTAATTTATTAAAACATGTAATATATTAAGATGATTTGAGACAATTAAACTAACAGGTTAGTCCGTTCATATATATATATATACATTTTTTTAGTAGCACAAATAGTAAATAAATATCTTATTATATTTTTTTATAATCAATTGGTCCAAATATTCCATATTAGTAAATATTTATAGGGTTATACAATTATAATTATAGTCTTATACGGGTTAGTTTGTCAAAACATGTAAGATATTAAAAATGATTTAAGACAACTAAACGGATGGATTAACAAATTCATAGATATATAGATTGTTTATGTATAAATCTAAATTCACATAATAACAAAGTTTATAATTAACATTAGATCAATGTATACTTAATTAACGTATACTCTTATTCTACTAATATACAAATTTTACTGTTTAAAATTAAAATATAATAACAATTTTTTGATTTAAAAAAATAAATAACAAAAATAAATGATATCTAAACAAAAATAAATTATATCTAAACAAAAAAGATAAATGCAACTTATATTAGAAATAAAAAATAAAACAATTCTGTGCGGACGCACAGGGTTAAAATCTAATTTGTTTTTTAAATCGTGTATATACAATAAATTTATGAATTTTGAAAATTTGAAAATTTATTAAAATAATTTTAACGATTTTCTGTTTTTAAAATATATCTATATATTTTTGATTTACGAAAATATAATAAAAATCAAAATAAATAAAAATAGTTTTTTAATTATCAGGGGTTACACTGCCTTTTCTCTCGTGATGAGATTAGTACAATAAAAATGTAAAGGTAAGACATCATTTTAGCAAACTGATTTGTTTGTGAGAACATTCTAGTGTTTATTCTCTATATTTATTTATCATGATAATTCAACCATTATTTTAGCATATGTACTTTTTTTATAAAAAAAAACCTAATAAATTGACGCCGGAAATTGTTTTTTTTTTTGTTTAAAAAAAATAAACCTCACCGCATTCTGGCTGTGTGCAACGCAGCGCCGCGTCCTCTTCTTCTCAGGTAAGCTTCTTCGATTCTCTTCTTAGACTAATGGCTAATGTGGACTTTCGTTTCTAAACTTATAAAGTTTTTGCCTTTTTTAGCTTGAGTCGATCCCAGAGTACAGATTGATAAACCCTAGCTATCTGTAGAAACTTTCACCCTAGAATAGCGAGGATTTAAAAGGAGTTCGTCGGAACCTAATTGCTGCGTCGATTTGATCGCTGTGAAGAAAGAAACCCTAATTTCAGAATCGGTAGTGTGAGACTATGAAGATGTGAAACAGCTGTTTGGAAGTTCTCTAATCAGTAAGTGAGAGAGAGAAGATGGATATTCATTTGGCTGACGAGGTTTTGCCAATGGTGAATACTCATGGGATTGGAGATGATAGAGATGCTGAATCTAGCGATTGCAGTGGAACAAATCCGTTGGGAATCGCAGAGCCGTGTGTTGGCATGGAGTTTCACTCAGAGAAAGACGCCAAATCTTTCTACGACGAGTATTCTAGGCAGCTCGGCTTTACTTCCAAGCCCCTTGCTAAAACCGATACTGCTCGGGAATTCGGGTGTAGTAGCAGCAAAAGGTCGAAAAGAAGACCAGCTGAGAGCTGTGATGCAATGGTTAGGATAGAGATGAAGAGTCAGGATAAATGGGTTGTGACGAAACTCGTTAAAGAGCACACTCATGGGTTGTCAAGTCCTAACACACTCCATTGTCTTCGTCCTCGTAGGCATTTTGCCAATTCGGAGAAAACTATTCAAGAAGGGGTGAGTGTTCCTAGTGGTATGATGTATGTTTCTATGGATGGTATTCGTGTTCCCTTGGAACCTAGTTATAGAGGAGCTAGAAGTGCGTCTAAGGATTCAAATAGAGTAAATTATGGACCTATGGCTACAAACACGAAGAGAACGCTTGGACGGGATGCACATAATCTGTTGGAGTATTTTAAGAGGATGCAGGCAGAGAATCCTGGTTTTTTCTATGCGGTTCAGCTTGATGAAGATAATCAGATGACAAATGTGTTCTGGGCAGATTCGAGGTCTAGGATTGCTTATACTCATTTTGGCGACACGGTCACTTTAGATACAAGATACAGGTGCAATCAGTTTCGGGTTCCTTTTGCTCCGTTTACTGGGGTGAATCATCATGGTCAGACTATCTTATTTGGATGTGCACTAATTTTGGACGAGTCAGACGCTTCGTTTGTCTGGCTGTTCAAGACTTTTCTAACAGCGATGAGAGATCAGTCACCTGTCTCTTTGGTTACTGATCAAGATAGAGCCATACAGATTGCTGTTGCTCAGGTATTTCCAGGTGCTCGTCACTGTATTAATAAATGGGACGTGCTAAGAGAAGGCCAGGAAAAGCTTGCTCATGTGTGTCTTGCGTATCCTAGTTTTCAGGTGGAGCTATATAACTGTATCAACTTCACCGAAACGATAGAGGAGTTTGAATCGTCATGGAGTTCCATCATTGAAAAGTATGACTTAGGAAGACATGAATGGCTTAGTTCTTTATATAATGCTCGAGGTCAATGGGTACCTGTTTATTTCCGGGATTCCTTTTTTGCTGCTGTGTTTCCTAGCCAAGGTTATCCGAGTTCCTTCTTTGATGGGTATGTGAATCAGCAGACAACCCTTCCGATGTTCTTTAGGCTGTACGAAAGGGCTATGGAGAGCTGGTTTGAGATGGAGATTGACGCGGATATTGACACTGTCAACACACCTCCAGTCTTGAAGACTCCATCACCCATGGAGAATCAGGCTGCAAATCTCTTTACACGGAAGATATTTGCAAAGTTTCAGGAAGAGTTGGTAGAGACATTCGCTTACACTGCAAACAGAATTGATGATGATGGTACCAATAGCACATTTAGGGTTGCGAAATTTGAAAATGACAACAAAGCTTATTTAGTGACGTTTTGCTACCCTGAGATGAGAGCAAACTGCAGCTGTCAAATGTTTGAGCATTCTGGCATACTCTGCCGACATGTTTTGACGGTGTTTACTGTCACAAATATACTCACTTTGCCACCACAATATATTCTGAGACGGTGGACAAGAAATGCCAAGAGCGTGGTAGGGTTGGATGAGCATGTCAGTGAAAATGGACATGATAGCTTGATACACCGCTATAATCATCTATGTCGCGAGGCCATCAAGTATGCTGAGGAAGGGGCAATTACAACTGAAACTTATAGTATTGCTTTGGGGGCACTCGGAGAAGGTGGGAAGAAAGTTTCAGCTGTTAGGAAAAGTTTAAGTAGAGCTACACCTCCTAACTCGCATTGTGTTGGAATTGGTAGTGATGAAAAGACCTCACTATCAGCTACTGACACAACCCCTTTGCTGTGGCCGCGTCAGGATGAGATGCTACGCCGATTTAATCTTAATGATGGTGGGGCCAGAGCTCAATCTGTTGCCGACCTGAATCTGCCGCGTATGGCACCAGTGTCCCTTCACCGAGATGATGGTGCCCCTGAGAATATGGTATCTTGTGGAAACCTTTCAGTCTTATTTCTTTTCTTATTTGCTATTTGTGTTGGGTGGTAATTTTACTTGCTCTGTCTTACAGGTAGCTCTTCCTTGTCTTAAGTCAATGACTTGGGCTTGGGAGAGTAAGAATACAACGCCCGGTGGTAGAGTTGCAGTTATCAAACTAAAGGTGTGTGTTATATGAATCCGAAACTTTCTGTATTGTTTTTGCAGTTATATCTACTTTTGCTGAAATTTGTTCTGGTGTGATGATTGCCTCACGATATTAGATATTTGTAAGCCTCACGGTGTCGAACATTTGAACAATTGACATGGGCATTAGTGGCAAATTAAATTTGCATTACTGACTGTAGTGTAGGGAAATTAAATTTGCGTGGTCATCAATAGTCTTGTTGCTTCCTGCAAAAATGTAGTTGACCGGTTTATTGCGGATTCTTTTTCATTATGTTTTCAGTTGCACGATTACAGAAAGTTTCCCTCAGCAGATATGGATGTCAAATTTCAGCTGTCTAGCGTTACGCTTGAACCTATGCTAAGGTCTATGGCTTACATTAGCGAGCAACTCTCATCTCCAGCCAATAGAGTGGCTGTCATCAATTTGAAGGTATTCTTTTTTAGATTCTAGACTTGTAGATGCATGCAAACAGCTAGTTTCTCTTGTCGTTATTCACTTTAATGTGACGAAAGTCTTTGAATGCTGGGCTTCAACTAAAATGTCTTCTTGGAAAGCATCTCTAATTTTTTTTTATATGGCTTTTTTTTTGGGTTCTTCCCTAATCTCCTTGTATAAAGTCAGTTCAGGAAGTGTGTGCTGTTTGACTTGTTATCCCCATATTAGTTACTGAATTAGGATTCTCACTTTCATTTTTAAGCTGCCACAATTTCTGCAAGTTATCCGTAGCAATGTCGCTACTTGAATGTGAATTTTTTGGGTCTTCCTATTGTAGAACAGGTTATTGTTTGACTACTACATTTGACTCATCTCTATGTGAAGAACTAAAAGCTTGTTATTTCGTGAGAAAACGGATTTTGCTTATTTTATGTGGCTCTCTTTGGTGATTAACTAGATTGATGTCTTACTCATATTAGCGATCTTAATTTAAACTAAAGAGTTCCAACTTTTTTGCTATTTTATTTCAGCTTCAAGATACCGAGACAACAACGGGAGAATCAGAGGTCAAATTTCAGGTGTCCCGCGATACACTTGGTGCCATGTTGAGATCAATGGCTTATATCCGTGAGCAGCTCTCTATTGTTGTAAGCACACACCCTTTCAATTCCTTTTTTGTTTGTTTTTTTTTTGTTCTAAGTAATAGTTATCAAACACTTACAAAGCCAATGATAGTTGAGAGTAATAGCATCCTATTAGGCTCATACCGACCCATACCTGGTCTGCGTAACGTCTTATCGAGAATCTAATCTTGTACCTTACATTCATAGGGAGAGATACAAACAGAACCACAAGCGAAGAAGCAACGCAAGTGATGTTCTCAGAGAGAAGCAACCACGGAAAGAAAAAAAAAAACTCGTTGAACCTAGAAAGGCCTCATTAGGGTTGATATGTTCCATATTTGTGTTGAAGTTGTAAGATACAATGTCTCATGTTTAGCATATGTATAAGTGTCGTGTCATCTACGCAAGTGTGGACATTGAGTCTTGATTTCAAGCCAGGCTTTCAAGTGTATATATCCTTCTTTTACAAACATTGGAATATATGGAGTGTTGTCTTACCCTTTAGTGAGTGCAAAATTAGGATTAACAAGAAAGAATACAATATCAAAGGACATGTAAATTGCCAATCTACTGGCTTACGATTCGAACTGACAAACGGGTAGATTCTGGATCTCTCTCTATGCTCTCTCACTCCTTGTCTACAGGCTCCGAGAATCAGTGAAAGTCACCTCTTCCTCTGGAGCATATAGGTCTTGGTAGCTGCACTATTTCTCAAAACAGTAGTTTCTTGGAAACACTGTACTCTTGTTCATATGGTAATAGTGACGGTAGATAAAAGCAATGTTTGATGAAAGCAATGTCTGATAATACTCATAGCGTAGAGTGAACCACACTACCTGTGTAGCTGTCTAGGATCCTGTCTAATGGCTGGAGACAAAAGAAAAGGGGGCAGTCCACCTCTGCGGATTGGTTACACTCGGGTCTATGACTCTTAGTTAAACACGTGTCCACACATATAAAAACAATCTATTATATACAATGTGAGGGTTTTCTCTCTATCTAAGGTGTCAAATCCACAAGCTTTAACATTAAAATATATTTATATTTTTTATTAGTATATTTCATACATATTAAATAAAATACAAAAAATCTTAGTGTAAATAAAAAGAAAAAATGACAATTAGATATTAATAATTAAAAAGAATAGTAATACTAAGTAGATAAAATATCTATATTTTTATTTAAAACGATGTATTGTTAAAAACTGGAAAAGAATTGGAAGAAAAAGTTAGAGACAACAATGAATTTTTTTAAAAAATAAAAAATAAAAAGGCAATAAAAAAGAAAGACGTGAAAAAATCAAAATATAAAGAAGAGGACACAGATGAAAACAAAGTAAAACATGAAAAATATATACACTAGATAAGTAAAATTAGTAGACGAAAAAAAATGATGAAGAAAAACCAAAAGAAGAAGAAGTAGAAGTCAAAAACGACAAAGAAGAAGATGAAAAACAATAAAAAAAAAACAAGAGGAACAAGAACACAAAGTTGATGAAGATGAATTTTGGAAAATGCGAAGACAAAGACATTAAGGATTAGGAAGGAAAAATGGAAGATGAAGATAACAAACTATGAAATATGAAAATGGAGAAGAAGAAAAAAATTAAGCAAAATAAGAAAAAAAGACAAATATGATGAATTAGCTATTCAACGATTCATAATAATAATTATTTATCATATGAGCAACGCACATGGCATAAATCTAGTATCAAAAACAAAAAGATTATCAATTTTTTCAGATAAAAACGCACCGTAAAAACTTAAAAAAGAAGAAGAAGAAGAAGAAGTTAGAGGAAACAATGGTAATAATTTTTTTTCAAAAGACGATGAAAAAGAATAAAAAAATAGAAGAAAGAAGAAAAATCAAAGTATAAAGAAGAGGACGCAGATGAAGACGAACTAAAATAAGAAGAATATGTACACCAGATAAGTAAAAGTAAGAGATGAAAAAAATCAGAAAAAGAAGATGAAGAAAAACTGAAAAAAAAGAAAAAGAAGAAAAAGTAGAAGTCGAAAACGATGAAGAGAAATATGAAAAAAAGAGATAAAAAGAAAAGGAAAAAAACACAAAGCTGATAAAAAAGAATTATGGAAAATACAAAGATAAAGACATTGAATATGAGGAAGAAAACCGGAAAATGAACATAACAAACTATGAGAATATGAAGATGGAGAAAGAGTATAATAAAACCAATATATATATATATATATATATATAAAGACAAATACGATGAATTAGGTGTCAATGATTCGTAATAATAAATGTTTAAAAATGAAATTCCACACAACGCGCTGAGCATAAATCTAGTTAATAAAAATGTGGAAACTTTGATATTTTATTAATTTACATAATTAGTAATTTATCAAACTTTTTTAAAAATATAGGTTGATTCTCGTATATACCATCAAAACTTGTTTTCTCTTATTCTTTTCTTATCAAAGGTACAAGAAGATGAGGAAGTGGAGATAGGAAGATAGTTACATTTTCTCGTATTCTTTTCGTATCAAAGGTACCTCATTTACATTTGGTAAGTTGCTATTTATAGATCCAAAGTATAAATAAAATAATAGAGGTAAATTGTTAAGTTTTGTGGCGGTGGGTAATGGATAATCATTCATTATTATAATACTCTCCCTTGATTGTCCAATACCTAAATACTGCCTCATTAAAAATCTTATCATGGAAAAACTTAATGGGATAAAAATCATGACAAGGAAAAAAAGAATACAATGACGCAATCTCCCTTTGGAATGATGGATATAACATTCTCTTCATAAATCCCGCAGATGACACATTCTAGTGTTGTGAATATGCTTTCTAAAAATGTTGTAGTAAAAAACGCCTTTGTAAAGATATCTGCTACATTGTCACTTGAACGAATATATTGTATATCGACTTCTTGATTTTTCTCGAGCTCTTGAGTGTAAGATTTGGAGAAATATGCTTCGTTCTATCATCTTTGATGTACCTTCTTTTAGTTGAGCGATACATGCAACATTATCTTCGAACAATTTTGTTAGCTCCTTGTTTATGACTATTCCGCTTGCTTCTTGTATATGATGACTTTGAGCCATATATATTCTCTACATGCTTCATGTAGTATGATTGTTTCTGCATAATTTGAGGAAGTGGCAACCAATGTCTACTTTTAAGAACGCCAAGAGATTGCAGCTCTTCCAAAAGTGAAAACATATCCGGTTTATGATGGAGCCTTATGAGGATCTGATAAATAGTCTGCATCTGCAAAACTGACTAAACTAAGTTTGGTGTTTCTAGTATAAAACAATCCCAAGTCAATTCTTCCTTGAAGATAACAAAATATATGTTTTATTCCATTCCAATGTCTGCACATAGGGGATGAACTATATCTTGCAAGTAATTTGTAGCAAATGTTATATCTGGTCGGGTACAATTCGCAAGATACATGAGTCCATTAAGAGATCTAACTCTGCTTTTGGAATATTAGATCTTTTTCTGTATCGAGAGATCTATCTAAGCTACAAATTGATAACATCCGATTTTTACCAGTTTTATGGATAATTTAGTATCTTATGCAGATTTCTAACTCCGCTTTTAATGTTTTTCAACTGATTTCTATGTTTTGGAGTTTTAGAAGACATTTAAGATAAGGGGAAAACTTTAAAATACCTTAACTCTATAACATTTACTAAAAAATATCCTGACTATTTAGGTTCCCCAAAAAATACTCAGATTATCTAAAAGTTCTAGTTTAACACTCTAATATTCAAAAAGTGAACGTTTGACACCCTAAATTAAACACTGTGAATCCGTCAGACGGAATGATAAAACGATGTATATCTTTAAATAACATCTGAATTATATATATGACAAAATTACTATTGCCCGTACCTATTTTTTTTCCAAATTAATTAGAGCACAATTTATATTGGAAAACCCACTATTTAACTTCTCTTCTCTCTCGAAGCCGGCTTCACAGGTACATATTATGTAAGCTTCTATTCATTTGATAAAATTCAACTTTTTGATAGTGAAAGATGATTGTGAGAAATGTTTACTTGTTAGATTGTGTTTTTTATAATAAAGAGATATTAATTAAATTAGTACCGAACATACAAATAAAGTGTTCCACTAAGACATTAAAACCTTCCAAGTTCCAACTAATGTCATGGAAAGTAAAAAAGAACAAAACAAAATAGAAACAATTCGATCTTCATACCCTCCCGTATTTCTAATCCTCCTTGCAAGCTGGATGTCATTTGCCATTATCTCTCATAGTGCCATAGATCCAAAATGGATCTGTATAGCTTCTCCACTCTTCCGGTCGCTGGAGCCAATTTTCTTTCTTTGCCGCCTTCATCACGAATTAATCCCTTGGTCTCCTTCCGCTGGTAGATTTTTGATTTGTTTCGTACGAGCTAACTGGTTAAACAAAAATTAAAAAAAAAAACAAAGAGACGATTTGCAATGAGAAATTGTGTATCTGTGAGATTAAATGTTGTTAAATTGGCTATAATTTCTTGACTTCGAGAGTGAAAGATAAGAGAAAACATGTAAAATTAGGGCTTGAGAAAAATAAGTAAGAGCAATAGAGGGTTTTCCATATATATATTACCAACATGTAATTTAAAAATAAACTTTATTTTATCACTTCTGTCAGACGAATTAACAGAGTTTAAATTTAAGATGTCAAACTTTCACTTTTCGAATGTTAAAGTATTAAACTGAAACTTTTAAATAATCTGTGTCTTTTTTTTGCGGAGGCTAAATAGTTTGGGTATTTTTTTAGTAAATGTTATAGAAGTAAGGTATTTTTAAGGTTCTGAAAGGCCTTTTTTTGGCTCTGATACCATTTATCTTTGTAAATCCTAGGTTCTACTAACGTATATCTAACTTCTTATATACGTTTATATAACCTGGATTTACAAAGATAAATGGTAGCAGAGCCAAGAAAAATACCTAAGTATGTTGTGGAAAGTTATTTTTTTAAAGCACTTTCGAACAAGAAGTTTTGTGCTTAGACTAATCTTGGGTCTCTTGTTCGAAGCATCCTACCAGCGCCTTGTCAAGAGCATCATTGACGTAGGTGTTCCAGGCAGTAAGTCCTAAAAGCAGTGAGACCGTTGGTAAGCCGCAGTTTCGTCCGTCCTTGATAAGCCTGGGTTAGTTTGCACGTCACCTAGAGTCTATATAGAGTTTAAAACATGGCATCTTCAGTTAGAAAGTGGTTTAAGTCTAAACATGCGGCTTCTTCTACATCTCAAAAAATAATTAATTCAAGAGAAATAGTGTCAAAAATTATAACTTTTAACAAAGAAATATCACATGATCAATTACCTCATGTTAATCTGGAAAATATATATCAGATAGGAACTTTTGATTTTAAGACTGCATATTCAATAAAAGAACATGAACAAACTATATCCTTACAAAATAAATTTGAAGAAACTAAACCACTTTCTTATATGGCATTAGAAAGTTCTAGAAAAAAGAAATTTAATTATATTCATTTTGG